CTGTGCGAGGAGGCTTTGGTGGTGGAATCACTGCTACTGATGGTCTTCGCGGTTTCTCCTCTTCTCCTTAATTAATTTACTGTTCATTTCAGTTGGATAAAGTCAAGTTTAATTCATACAAGAACTGCAATACAAAAAGAAAGTGCAAACTTTATTTCTTACCTACGTAAATTCCCTGATTGGGTGGGATAGAAGCTGCCGTTGGCCTTCGTACAAATGTCACCTGTGGTAGCTCGTCTTTTCGCTGTTTTACTGGTGCAGTGAAGCACCAAACATCTGGTTGTCGGTACTGAAATGTGACCCACACTTAAAAGGCCTTCACTTGATAAGTCAACTTTTCGTAAGGTAGATTATACTTTTTTATCCTGAATCTTTAATCCATTCTACTGTTACATGTCATGCAGATAGTTAATAGAAGCTTTTTGTTTATTCCTGAATTTGTGCAAAAAAACAATGCTCAGGTAGCTTGCGGGACCGTTTCGGGTAATGATATTAAGAGAAAAAACATTCTTTTTTCTTCAAAGATTTCAAAATAAAGTGCATTCTGTGAACCAAGAGTTCGAGGAAACTGAATCTATTCGGCTATTACAGTTACTATCCAACTGTAACACGATACACTCACATTCCTTTGCATATCGACAACTCATGGCCCCAATATAAAATTTATAGTGATTTGAACAAATTACTTTGAGGTTGAGGTAGAAATCTTGCATACGGTGACACCACTTACAGTGACCTTGCGTGCGTTCACAAACAAGTTGTGGAGTCATATCGGTTGAAGATAAGGTTGAGAAAAAAGTATATTTTCAAAAGATCCGTGTATCTGCTGAGAAGAGCTTCACTTAAGGTACGAGGGAACCATTACTTAGTGAGAAATTTGAAATATGAAATGCCGAAAATTTGTATTTTAAAGATTGTCGTACTTAATTGATAAATAAGATCACCCACCTGCCATAGAGCTTGCCATATCTTCATTCCGCTTTCTAGCCTTATGTTATCGGCGATGTCTTCCTCCGAGACCATTTCAGCCAATGGAGTGATGAGGTAGACGAAAAGTTGGATTGAAGAAAGTGAGAAGAGGCCCTGTCCTCGTGTATGACAGACTTCCTCCTGCGAAATGGGCATGATATGTGACCTTGACTAATAACTCAGGTCTAAAAACCTAGATTATTTACTTTTGGTGAAGCTTCAGCGCATTCTGATGCTGAGTCCAACAGCATCCAATGAAGTATGTACAGGATCTTTTGCAGAGATGCTGATAATCCCTTGCCATCTGAAGCCTCCAACAAGGAACCGCAGCACTAAAAATTCAAAGTGAACGTTGAAAAGGATTTGTACTCGAGATGACAGACTTGTATGACATGCGGAAGTGCTGCTCGCACCAGTTTCCATCGGCTGACGCTGGCGATCGCATCAGAAAGAGATGGTGACAAGCCATGAAGGATATTTTGAACGACTACTCTTTCAAATGTCTGAAATTGAG